TCCAACTCAAGGTTAGTCCCCGGGGTTGAGAGAGTCCTTGCTACAACAGATTCTTGGTAAGTGATTAACAGCATGCTAACTTTGAAATCCTAACTAAGTGACAAAAATAATTGATTGTGCACATATAATTCTTTAGACATAAACTGCTGACCGAGTCTGGGACTAAGTCTGGATCCAGCTGCACCTTAACTCCCCTCTGAGTAGTTTAGAAAGCAAGGTGTCCTTTCTGAACCTCATGACTCATAGGGAGGGTCTCCCTGACAGTTTTGGCTGACCGTGTCCTCTATGCAGTAAATAGCAAGGGTACCTTGCAACTAAATCTTGTTAAACACTGTTGTATTTACTGTCAAACTTTGTTAACTCACTGTTTTATATCAATAAACATGTTGCTACTACTGTCTTATGAGTGAAGTGTGTCACTCCATCCGCAACAGCAGGATGGGACACTGCAGCTAGGCATGAGAAAATTCCTTCATGTGAGGGTGGGGCATCTCAGAGACCAGATCTCTGTCCTTGTTGGTGCTCAGAACTCAACTTGACACAACCTGATCTAGCTTTGGACTGGGAGAGTTGGACTACAGATCTCCAGAGATGCCTTCCTAACAAGACCTCCTGGCAATTATGCCTTATGGTGGGGGGGATGGAATATGGCTGCCTTCCTCTGGGACTTTTGGCTACTCCCTGCTCTGGAACATCCCTGGTGCCCAGGACAGATCTGAGGCACTATGTATGGGCCTCTCCCTCATCATGCCTGGGCTGCTTTCCTCCTCATGCAATGTTAATGTAAGATGGTGGATGTTTGATGTGGTTTCTTCATGGTCTGGCAAAGGCACATAGCTATATGTCCCAGCAGGCTTGCCTGGAAGAAAAGTCTGAAAACCCAAAGCTGATGTGGATCTGGCATCATTGTAACTGTGCAGTGCTGTGCACCTTCCAGCCAGCCCAAGAAGGAACACAGCTGCTGCAACTCAGAGCCCCCTGACATGCTTTTGGAGATCTTATCTGCTACATCTTCAAGGAATATTTGTCTGCACATCCACAGTTTTACTGATGCAGAGCAGTGACTGAGCAGCCAGAGGAATGAGACAAGGGAGGAAAATGACTGCAGGCATATATTAAAGTATTCAACTTGTCCAGCTGAAAGAGATTTCTGCCAAACGATTTTATAAGGAACGAGGCATTTTACAGGAAAAGCAGGGCCTCTCCTCTCATTTCCTTTCCCCTCTTCTCTATGAACTTCAAAGCGGGGTCAAAACAGAGGCCAGGCAACTGGAACTGAGTTCCTGAGCCCTAAAGCCTAATTAGTCCAAGATACATTTCATTGGATAACTCTCAGAGACAGGGCTAAATTACCAATCCTCCCCACCGTGCCACCAAGGGTTGGATAAAGCCAGAACGTGGTCCACAGTTCACAGGGCCCCAGCAGCACAAGGGCTCTTGGGGGAGTGTCTCAGCAAGTGGCAGTCTCAGCCAGTCAGTGGCAGAGCTCTCCTAGACCCCCAGGCTTTGTGTGGCCACAGCTAAAACCTCCTCTGCAGGACAGGGATCATTCCCACCTCCCTGGTGACTTGTCCCAGGTCTGCTAGTGGAGGAGTTGTGCCAGCTAAAACCCCCCCAGTGCTGTGTGGCTGTTGCCCCTTGTTGCATCAGCTGAAGCCTCCAAAGAGCCTCCAGCCATTTGCAATTGTCCTTCCAGCAGTTTTAGGCTGATACTAAACTCCCCTCCTGCCTCCCCTCAGCCAGGTGTGCCAAGGCCAGCCCCTGCCAGCTCCACCTGCAGGCCATGTGCTCCAAGCCCCTTCCGACTTTGCAGCTATTTGCTGCTCCCCCCTCCAGCTTCTCTACATCCTTCCCTGATGTGTGCCCAGCAGAGTGGATAATAATGTCCCTTAATCTGCACCTCCTCACATGGCCTGGCATGCAGTTTGTCTCACCTGCAATGAGAAACAAAGATTCGTTTTGCACAGGTTTTAGGACTCTCTGAAATGGCACACCAGTTTCAAGTCACGTGTCTCTCCCCATAAGATGCGAGTCTTGCGGTGGATTTTCTTACTGGGATCTATAAAGGGTATTCTCAAGAAAAAAAAGACAGAAATGACACAGGCAGTTTGCCCTATGCAGCCTCTCTCAAGACACATGCATCTTATTTTAAGACTACAGCAAACACGCTTCGAAAGAAGGAGTCATTTCCGGCCTTGTGGTCCGAAAGCTGAGAAAAGCAAAACTACAGGTCACTAGAGTAATTTGGAGAGCAGAGAAAGGACATCACTGTCATTGTAAGCTTATGTGGCCTTCTGATGCCATAGCACAGCTCTGCATCCTAGGAAACTAAGCCCTGCAGCTTGCAAGGCAGTGGACTGTCACACATGAAGCCAGATAACCAGCAGGGAAAATGAGGTCCTCATGGGTGCACAGCTACTCTAAGCCATGTGCTGTGACTGTGTACCCCAGCCAGCACCTCAATCCCCAGCCACTGCAGACAGATGACCTGGTCAGCATAAGGCATGGCTCATTCCTTGCTTGATTTCAAGGCACTTGCTCAGTTCTCAAAGAGCGGATCTGGACCTGATGTGGACTGGGTTCAACTCTGTTTTACTGCAGATCATCTGTGCTGCCTAACTGCAGAACGAAATTATCTCCCTTTGCATGCATTTCCCAGTGGAGCCAAAATATAAAATGGAAACCTTTCCTTCCTTTATGTAAGGCTCTGCCAGAGTTGGCATCCTGGCGAGTGTTTGCTGGAAGGACCTCTGGAGGTCTCTAGACATAGGACTGCTGCCAGCACCAGATCAGGTTGTCAGTAGCTGTGTCTAGCCACAAAGCCAATGTCTGCTTCTCATGTGCTAGCTCAGCACTTGGTGCATCAGGACTCTTTTTTCAGATGAAGTTCATGGAAAGCTCTGACTCAATGCACAGGGAGATTTAGCTGGGGTATCCATCTCTCTCTGCAGCTATCAGGGAAGGAAGGCCAGATGGGGTATATAGCACTGATACCTGTCCAGTCTGTTAGCGTATTCCTGTGCCAGTTTCATCCTTCAGAAAAATGCCATCCTGAGGACTGTGATGGTTCAGGACCAGATATCATGACTGTTTGGCTTTTCCTGCTAAAGTCCAGTAACACAGGAGGGAGGGCAGACAAGAGAGCACCAGCCAAATTTACTGACAGACTGAACCAAAAATAGCTGCCATCTTTGGATTTTAAGGCTTTGCTTTGTTACAGTCTGGATCAGACTTGTTTTCAAAACAACCTTCAACAGACATAAATACACCTGTCATTGAAAACAGATATGCCTAGAATGATTAACCGATACTTCCTGGCAGTAATCCCTGCACTTCTGTCATAGTTAAAAAAAAAGAGTTGGGATTACAGGGGAAACAACAGCATGCAAACATTAGCTGTGTGCTTCACTCACTATTTTTTCAACTTTGTACTATTGGATTACTTTCTTAAGCACCCTGGGGACAGAGACAGCGAAGAACAGCTTTCGTTGGCAAAGGCAGGCAGTTTCTCACACATGGTTCTCTTCCCGTGGCTCATCCAGCAAATTGTATGCTAAGCCTGAAAAAACAGCAAGGAACAAGTCCATCCAAGAGGGGGTGAGTACAGGGGATTTCACATCCCTGTGTGCTGGCAGTCTAGCACTGGTATTGAGCACTTACTGGGAGGAGGTGGGAAGTGCCCCATACCAGGGAAACATGCACAGAAAAATCCTTGGTGCTGCCCAGAGAGTGAGGAGCTCCCTTCCCGGCAAGGCCACCTAAACCTACACATAGCCAGGAGGGACACAGTCAGCTTTACTTGTCTTCTAGCATTATCAGGGGCTTTAAGAATTTTGGCCTTGATCAAAGTCCAAGCAGCACAGATGGACTACCACAGCCACCCTTTGTGTGTTTAAAGGACAGTTGTCTCTCATGTTCCCTCTTGCCTGGGGTGTGTATGTGTGTGTGTGCCCGGTACTACAGCGTTTTCCCAGTTCTTAGTCCATAATTAAAAGAGCTAAGATATGCTATTAATTTCCGTGCTACTGAAACATTACTTTATGCAGTGTCATTCTTTCATACAGGACCACACTCTTGAAATGCAGAGCTGACACTGGTTTAAGGCTTGCAAACGAGCAAGTAAGATCCCTGGTTCCCATCTGCAAACCTGCACATGCAAAGAAGCAGGCAGCCAAGGAACTGTTCCACATCCATGATAAGACTGATCTGCAGTCCAACATGTCTGTGTCACTGCAGGGAATTTTCTGAAATCCTGAAGAGTGAAGGGCAGTGGGTGGACTGCAGGTCTCTGGAAAACCAGACAGAAAAACTGGCTTCTGTATTCAAACTGTAAAACACTGAAGGCTTATGCTGAAGGCAGAGACATTACTTCTAAGATAACACTGAAATGCCAACTTGCAGCTTAACTATGCAGGTTAATGAACATTAGTGCTCTTGCCTTGATGTAAGCTTGCTGGGCTCACTGAGGTGCTTGTTTTGTTTCAAGTGCTGCTATTTTGAGGGACAGGAAAAAAAAACCCACTTTCAGTTCCCGGAACTCATAGCCACTCCTGGGAGAATATCGGTCCCAACATTTTTGACGCTTTTTTCCTCAGTGTTCTCTCTCAGCCTTCCTGACCAGGTCAGCGCAGTACTCGGCGCATCCTGCTTCCCTGAAACCTGCGTTTGGCTTGTGCTGCATCACAGGCCTTAAGCCCAATAACCGTTCCAATTTACCCACCCGATGAGTAACAGCAATCACAGGGAGGCTGCGGGGTCTCCCGGAGCTGCCGAGCCC